CCGCCCAGCAGCGCGCAACACGCACTGCACGGCGGCAGCACTAGGCAACAGCATGCACCACACGGCAACAGCACGCACCGCGAGACGCGCGCACCGCCCAGCAGCAGCAGTAGGGCGGGGCCCACACGACAGCTCATCAGGGTGGGTCCACACTTATCTTACCACATAAGCTCTGCCCGCCAACTCGCCGCCAGCTACACCATTCCTCATCCCTTATCCTTATCCTTATCCTTATCTTATCTTATCGTAAGTAAGAGTTGTGTTACCATTAGGAGTAGGTAATTAGGAGTTTGAGTTTAATTAGGAATTTTCTTTTGTAATCTCCTATTTAAGGAGCCACGAATTTAAATAAAGGCATTCAGTTTTTGAGTCAAGAAAAGAGTGAGGAGAGTTCGGGTGGTCTCTTGGACAAATCACCCAAAAGGATAGTTCGGGTGGTCTCTTGGACAAATCACCCATTCAGTTTCCGCAATAGGGTCTGCACGCAAGGGAAGGCGCAAGGGAAAGCAGGGCTTTCTCCCCGTGGACCGACCCGTGACGAGATCCTACGCTCAGGCCCATAACATTCTGGTATCAGAGCCAAACGTCATGGGCGATATGGAGCAGCTATCATCCAAGGTCCACGAACTGGAACATAGGCTAGCAGAAATCAGCATGGAGGTTCGTGAAGTCAAGGAAGATGTCCGGGAGCTGCGACGCCTGCTGGAGGCATTCTTCTCCAACAAAGAAAGGAGTTCTGAGGGAATCGCCAACACAAACAGTCGTCGTCCGGACTGGGCAGAGGCACCCAGCGAACAGCAGATCGCTGCCCCGACAGCCACAGTTATTCTCAAATATAGCCGTTTGGAGTTTCCCTCATACAGCGGCAGCGACGACCCATAGGGAGGGCTGTACCGCTGCAAGCAACTCTTTTGTAATCAGCGCATGGGGGATGAAACTGTAAAGTCCCCTCCTTTGGCCAGGGACAATGTCATATTGGTACCTGCAGAATGTGCTCCTGGGTCGAAGACAGGTGGACTTGGCGATGTTGTTGGGACTTTACCGAAGGCCTTGTCTCGGCTTGAACATAGAGTTATGGTTGTGGCACCACAGTATGGTAACTATGCAGAAGTCCAAGAAACAGGAGTGCACAAGAGATATAAGGTGGATGGGCAGGATATGGAGGCTGCTCTTGAGGTTCTCTTCTGTAAGTATACCCGGTGCGTTCTTGTGATCCACAACATAGCACACTAGGGTCGTGGTCCAGTAAGTGATTTTCGTTATGTGGATCTTCCAAAAAAGTACATACATGACCCAGGAGTTGGGGAACAACTTCTCAGACATTTTGAGAGTTAACACCATGACAAAGTCAGGGGTTGGGTCGGTTTCTCTGTGAAAATGGCTCATCGGATAACTGTTGGTGCGGACATCCTACTCATGCCTTCTAGATTTAAGCCATGTGGACTGAACCAGCTTTATGCACTGAGCTACGGGACAGTCCCTATTGGTGGACTGAGAGATAGCGTGCAGCTGTTTGATCCATTGGCAGAGTTCCAAGCCACGCGTCCGGAATTCGAGCTTGAGGACAAGCTCGTTGTCCAGGAGGGGTGTGATGTTATGGACACACCGCCCGGCAGCGCACTGCGGCGTAGTCATAGGAAGCAGCACGCCCAGCAGGCCGCATAGCAACAGGCACTGCCCGGCAGCGCTGCACAGCAGCACGCACCGCCCGGCAGTGCGCAACACGCATCGCCTGGTAGCACGCAACACACACCGCCCGGCAGTGCCGCACAGCAGCACGCACCGCTTGACAGCGCACAACACGCACCGCCTAGCAGCACGTAGCACGCACCGCACAGCGGCAGCACTAGGCAGCAACACGCACCGCACGACAGCAGCATGCACCTCACGACAGCAGCACGCACCGCACGACAGCAGCACGCACCGCACGACAGTAGCACGCACCGCACGACAGCAGCAGCAGTAGGGCAGGGCCCACATGACAGCTCATCAGGGTGGGTCCACACTTATCTTACCACATCAGCTCTGCCCGCCAACTCGCCGCCAGCTACACCATTCCTCATCCCTTACCCTTATCCTTATCTTATCTTATCGTAAGTAAGAGTTGTGTTAACATTAGGAGTAGGTAATTAGGAGTTTGAGTTCAAGTTGGAGTTTGAGTTTAATTAGGAATTTCCTTCTGTAATCTCCTATTTAAGGAGCCACGAATTGAAATAAAGGCATTCAGTTTTCGAGTAAAGAAAAGAGTGAGGAGAGTTCGGGTGGTCTCTTAGACAAATCACCTAAAAGGAGAGTTCGAGTGGTCTCTTGGACAAATCACCCATTCAGTTTCCGCAATAGGGTCTGCACGCAAGGGAAGGCATAAGGGAAAGCAAAGCTTTCTCCCTGTGGACTAATCCGTGACGAGATCCTACGCTCGGGCCCATAACATACAAAGGGATAAAAATGAACATAAATAGGGGGAAAAAGATTAAAACCATAACAGCCTTATATTTCAGGATTTATGGAAAAGCATTCTACCAAAAAAAATTATCATAGGAAATCCTATAAAACACCCTATTCACTCCTGTCCAAGAGGTAATTCTGTTCCTCGACTAAGTGAACAACCCATCTTCTGTTTCAACTTCGTTTTCAAAAGTTTTGGAATTCCTTCCCATCAACAAGATCCCAAAAGAACAGAAGATGATGAAATCTTTCATATATTCTTTCCTTCTTTCTTAAGATCCTTGAGCTTCCAACACTTGATAAAACCTTCCTACAGATATAAGCATGCCAAATATATGGTGTTGCAGTAGAAGGATGGGAGAACTGTGTAGCAGCTAAACATGAGCTTCAGAGCTAAAGACATAGCAATGCTTATTGAACTATTTATGCCATTTCTTGGTAGCCATTTCTAAGCACTTAGAACAGTTTGAACATTTATGCTTTTTAAAAAGATGCTCACAAGACCAGTTTGATGCCTTTAAGAGAATTAGGGCATAGGACACTTGGGAAGATAATAATTCCCAGAGGCTAAACGTCTCAAAGTGATATTTAGGGAATTAGAGCATTGGATCATTCTGATAGCTATCCTTTAGATCCATCACCAAAGTTGCCTCTCTGCCTCCAACATCATTGACTTGGCCAACTACTCCAAACAGAACAACAAAAAGGATTCATGAAAATGATTCAGAAACACGGGTTGAAGGTCTTCTAAATAATGTGCCCAATAACCATCATCTAAGTAATATAGGGATGCAGTTCCAAAACTGTTGTGCTATGTGCAAATCTTCAGAAGAGTTGATAAAATACTAATTTATTTTGTCTACCACTTCCTCTGGTTTTTGTCTTTATCCTTGTTCCAGATCTTTTGATCTTGCCCCCATTGATGAGAGAAGTGATGCTACCTTATCCCATGGTGTCAATAGGTGGTAGGGTTTTTTTATTCTATCCATTATTCCTGTTTACCAACCAAACTTACATCAACCAAAATATTTCATATCCTGCAGTATAAGCAAGCAAGTAGCAAGTAAATCTAGTAGAACACTTCTGACGTGTGAATGATGCATACTTGTAGAGATTCTCACTGGGGATTCTTCCCTCTTTACACAAACATTAATTAATGAAATTAATTAATCGGTATGGGGACTTCCATCGGTAGCAAGGAGCAAGTAAATCTACTATTTAATGAAACTAGTAGAACACTTCCATCTTATTTCTATGAATCGCAGAAACGGGGACACCTATGATACGTTGAGAAGTTGGTTACTCGAAACTAACTAATCATTAGTAAAAACTGAATAATTCAAGTTGTATTGGTCAATGTTTTCAAAACCAACTTGAAGACCGAGTCGCTTTTGTATATGGGTCACGGTCACCGGTTCAACCATCTTGGTCGAATGGGTAAGATCATTCCATATCAACACTCTATATATATGTGTGTGTGTGTGCATATATGTATATATGTGTGTAGATACATATTTTATCAATAAATAGTATATAAATGTTTTACATATAATATATATATATATATATTATTTTATATTTTTAATTTTTTTGTTTATAAAAATGTTAAGAATTGTGATTTAAAGTTTTTTTTTGTTGCAAAAATAGTGGGGCAAAACACCATGACATGTTAGGACGCATAGATCTTGGAAAGTTACCCAAAAAAAAAAAAGATCACCTTAATCGAACATCGGAGTGCAAAGTTATGGCCTTCGAAAGTTTGCACATGCAATAAGTACGCAACAATTTGTGACTAGTGATTGGGTCAAACGTGTCAATAGTTGAACCCTCCAAATCGGGTTGTTTTTTAGCAAGTCAATGGTTTTTGATTGAAGGGCGGGTTTCAATAGAACTAGACCTAGAATCAAGGTAGGGTGACAGTTTGAACGATTCAACCGGTCAGGTTAATGGTGGGTTGAAAACATTAGTATCGATTTGGGCCAATTTCAATTTGGTTTGTTGGTTCAGAAGATTTAAACTTAAAAAATTAAGTTACATCTACAAAATACAATGATATTACTAAAAGAATAAATTTAAAATTTGAGTTTATAATATAAAATGTTTTACAATAAGAAATATGAGAATTTTTCCACTTTCATGTATTAAAAAATTATATTTGAAATATAAAATATTAATATATTTATGATCATGTTGGTTCAATTTTGGTCGGTTTATAAATGGTAAAACCAAAACTAACTTGACTTGGTTGAATTGGGAAGTTGTTAAATCAAAGCCGATTAGAAATACTAGAAAACAACTAACTTGGGTCAAGTTTAGTCAATTTGATGAACATCCTTAACTGAAATTAATTATTATTATTTTTGTATCACAAAAAATTATTAAAACATAATATATAAAATATAAATAATTATTAATTATTTAAAATTTAAATTATAAAACATGTATTTCTATTATTTATCCTTCCCTTAACAAAGTCCGTGCATTGCACGGTCCCTGCTAGTTATTGATAAAAATGTTGATGCCGTGATGGCATAAGTCCTTAGATGAACGGACTCTTGATGATATAAATTCTCTTTCGGTTGAAAAGGATCTCTCCAGCAGTTTTGGAGTGCGAAGAGTAATGGAGTAGCCTTCTGTGCTTGGTGTGGAGGTTTGCAAAGCAAGCAAGTGGGTCAAAGTTTGTTTGGAGCTTCACTGTGGTAGGCCAAACTATCCCTTTTATTTCCTTTTACGTATCCATGTAAACTGCTGCTTTTATATTGAGTTATTGACAGATCCGTCTCTTATGCCCGTGGCCATGGAACAGTAGCAGAGACACCAAAAGATGACCGAAGAACACGAAGAAGTAGAAGAGATACAGCACGGCCCTTTTTCGATCGAACAGCTTCAGGTAATTGTGTTGTGTCATTTTAATTTCATTTCTATAGAACCTCAAATTTAGTCGTCAAATTCGAATCATTCTTGATCCTTCATCCTTTCTTATTGCCTAAGGATAATGAGTTCGATTCATTTTCCATGTTTGGGTTGGGTTTTCATCATAAATCGCAAAGAAAGGAGAAAGAATATGCCTTCTTCCTTCTTTCTCTATCTATCATCATGTTCTGGGCTTGGAAATTCAAGCAACTAATTCTATTGGAAAATTCCGGGTGCAGATTTTGGGAAGCAGGGAACTTCCTTCATTTCAGAAAGTATATGCTCTCGTCCAATCTGAAGAGAGCAGAAAAAATCTCATGAATGCTTCTGAAGGGGAGCAACCTGTTGCCCTAACTACAAGAGGGGGTAACACATGAATGAAAAAGGGGGAACCAAAGAAAGGTGAAGATAAAGACTAACTGTGGTGTATTCATTGCTAGAAGCCTAGACACACTCGAGAAACCTATTGGTAGTTAGTGGGGAAGCCCAAGTGGGCAACCAAAAATCAAGACACTTCAAAGAAGCCTCCTCAGAAGAAATTTACTTATGCAAATCTGGCCACACAAGACTATCAGCAGAATAATTAGACTATTGTTTTTCCCCAAGAACATCCCAGTGGTTCCGATCCCAAGAAAGACATCATCAACTCCTTCAGAGATCATTTGGTGTATGGTAGGACACTCGGATAGATAGATAGGTTGGTTCCTACTCCTTCTACCTCATTCGCTTCTACATCAGGTAAATGTGCTTTTACATTTCATGTATGTACCTCTACTCCCGAGTCACCTTGGGTCATTGACTTAGGGGCATCAAACCATATGACTAGTAAGTCCAATCTCTTTCAGACCTACACTCTTCTCTCTGGAAGGGATAAAGTGAGACTTGTTGATGGGTCTCTATCCACCATTGCTGGTCAGGGATCTGTATCCCTTCCTGATAGCCTTGTCTTATCTAATACCCTTCATGTTTCTAAGCTTCTTATTAATTTGTTATCTATAAGCAGTATTACTCGGTCCTTAAATTGTTGTGCAACTTTTTTTCCCCATCCTTGTGTTTTCCAGGATTTAACTTCGGGGAGGATGATTGGTAAAGTATATATGGTTGATGGTCTCTACATCTTGGAGAATAAAGCTGGTCCTGCGGCATCGGTCTCTGTGAGTCTTATGAGTCAGTCAAAAAATAGTCAACTGTGGTTATGGCATAATCGCTTTGGTCATTTGTCCTTTGAGTCTTTGAAAGTTGTGTTTCCTGAATTGTTCAAGTCAATGTCTATTACTAGTTTACATTGTCAAACGTGTCAGTTGAGCAAGCATTGTAGAACAACTTTTTCTTCAAATAATAAAAGATTTATTTTGCCTTTCCATGTTGTATTTTCTGATGTTTGGGGCCTTGTAAACATACCTACTGAGGGCGGGTACAAGTACTTTATCAACTTTATTGATGACTATTCAAGATACACTTGACTATATCCCATGCATTCAAGAGAAGAGGTTCCCAAGATTGTGCAAGCTTTCCATTGCATGGTTTTCACTCAATTTCATGTTGAAGTCCAAACCTTCCAATCGGATAATGCGAAGGAGTATTTCCATAATGACTTAGCCGAGTTTTTTTCCTCTCATGGATCTCTTCATAGAAGCTCATGTGCCAGAACACCACAATAGAACGACGTTGTTGAAAGGAGGAACCATCATCTCCTCGAAGTTGCCCGCAGTATGATGCTTCACATGCATGTTCCAAAACGTTTTTGGGTTGATGCTATGATGGCTACAGCTTATGTTATTAATCGTATGCCATCGCACCTCCTGTAGTACAAGGCCCCACATCAACTTCTTTTTTCTTAATCCCCTTTATTTTCCATTCCCCTACGTGTGTTTGGGTGTAAGTGTTTTGTTCATGATCTTTCTCCCAGCCGGGGTAAATTGAATCCCAAATCTGTCCCATGTGTTTTCTTGGGTTATCCCTCTTCCCATAAAGGTTACAAATGCTTTAATCCGGTCATACATAAGTACTTTGTGTCGATGGATGTGTCATTTGAATTTGAACCCTTCTTCCAAGCCTCTCCTCAGGGAGAGAATAGTGTAAAGGAGGAGAGGCAAGGTCCAACTCCTCAAATTCCTTTTCCCTCTATTCCTGACTCCTCTCCATTTCGTGTTTTCTTGAGGTGCCGTAAGGGACAGCTGAACTCAAAGGCTATGGAGCAACTTGAGACTAATACATCCAACACCATTTGATTCCTTGAAGGAAAATCCAGGTACCCTTGTTCCTTTTGATATTACTGAACCTATTGCTATTGAAGACTCTACTAATGATCTTGATATCCCAATTGCTCATAGAAAAGGAGTTCGATCATGTACTACTAAGCATCCTATTGCTCAATTCTTGTCCTACGAAAACATTGCTTCCTCATTTTGTGCCTTTTTTACTGCCATTGATTGTGTCTCCATTCCCAAAAGTGTTGCAGAAGCCTTATCTTTACCTGAATGGGTAGAGGCAATGAAGGAAGAAATTAGTGCTCTTCACAAAAACAAAACCTGGGAGTTGGTGAATCTTCCTAAAGGAAAAGAGCCAGTGGGTATTCACAGTAAATCATACAGCAGATGGGTCAGTTGAGAGGTATAAAGCCAGGTTAGTTGCAAAAGGGTATTACTCAGGTGTATGGGTTGTGATTACGGGGAATTGGGACTCTGAGATTAAGAAGGTAAAAGAATCCCTTGCTATGCAGTTTGAGATGGAAGGTCTACGACAACTACGTTATTTCCTTGGTATTGAGGTTGCTCGCTCACAAAAGGGTATCTTCATTTCCCAAAAGAAGTATGCCCTAGATCTTTTGCAGGACACAGGAAAGTTAGGAGCAAAGCCTGTAGATTTTCCTATTGAGGAAAACCATCAGCTTGGTGATTGTACTGGAGAACTTGTGACAGATTTCAAGAAGTTTCAAAGGCTAGTAGGAAGGCTTCTTTACCTATTGTAGAGGAGATGGGCCGAATGGCCCATAGACTGTCATTTCATGTTATGTTATGTTTCTCTTTGTTATAGGCTTTATTCTGGGCCCATACTCTATAATGTTCTGTTTTTTGTATTTTTCTGCCCAGTCAAGGGCCTCTCTGTAATTTATCAAAGATTAACACCTTAATAAAATGTTTAGAGTGTTAGAGTGAGGTTAAGTTTGAAACTCTCACTCTCTAACACTCATTGCCGCCAGCTCTCTCTCTCTTCTCTTCCTCTCTTGTTTGTTTAGTTTTTGTTTGCATCTAATCTCAAACAGTTCCATACATCAAGTGAACT